AAATTTCCCTCATCACTAATTAGGGTTCCGAGATTATGAAGATGATTGCATGGATTTCTTAGGAATTATAAAATTTTTATATTAGAATTTTAATTCGAGTTGTGTAGGGTTTAATAATTTTATTCCATGGCATTGCTAGAATTTGATAATATTTATTTACGTTGTGAGACTTTTATGAGTATCGATTTGATTTCATGCTTAAATATTAATTATTGTATTTTAAATTGATCTCTATAAATATTTACTAAATTTTGGCATAATATAAATAAACTAAATAATATTGAAAATTAAATGTTGATTGTCATTACCAATTTTTTGACAATTAATAAAAATGTAAAAAATATAGATTAATAATTAATAATTTAGATATTTATTAAAAAAGTTAAATATTGAGATACAAATTTTGTTTAAATATTCATATTGTTTTAAAATAACCACATTTTTTCTACTAATAATTAATAATTGAGATATCTAACAATTGGAATATTGAGTTCATATTCTTTTAAATATTCATTCTGTTATAAAATAACACATTTTTTTCGATTAGTAATTTAGATATCAATCAAAATAGTTAAATATTGATATAAATATGTTAATAATAGATAAATATGTTAATAGATTTTATAAGACCTATCAAATTCTATTCAATATTTATCCGATTTAAATCAATGAAAACACTTTGATTTTTAAAAATTTCATTTAAATATTCATCATGTTATAATTTTTCGATTAGTATTTTGGATATCAATCAAATGATTTAAATTTTGAGATAAATATGTTAATAGATTTACTAGCACTTATCAAACTGTAGAATCCGATTTTTTTTAATCACTCACAGATTTGGTTAGATTTTTTAGTCAATTATTGGTAGACATCTTAATAAACACATTCCATAATTATTGCACACGGGACTCACACGTATTTTATCAATTTCTATAATCCGTTTTTTTATCTCTAAAGATGTTGTCAGATTTTTTTGTAAATTAAAAAGGTATTAATGTAAATTAAAAATCGGCTTATTTTATTAGATAGATTTAGACAAAATCTTACAAAATATACACATTTATTTATCTAGAATCCGATTTTTTTAACACTTAAAGATTTGGTTAGATTTTTTAGTCAATTATTTGTAGAAATCTTATTTATCTTCTTAACATAATAAGATCACGTAATCAAATCACGTAAATATATTTATTTTGTACTTATCACGTAATCAAATACAACTACATGATAAAATCGAAAAACTACATGATAATATCGCATTTATTTATCTTCTTAACATAATAAAATCACGTAATCAAATACAACTACATGATAATATCGAAAAAAATATTATTTAGATAACTAAATCTGAAACATTTTTATTCTTAATAGTATTCTTAATAGTATCCTAATCAAATACAACTACATGATAATGATAATATCGAAAACAATATTAAATTTGGATAACTAAATCTGAAAATATAATGATATTTATCTACTTAACAAATTTACTTACGTAATTTTGACTATAAAAAGACCAATGCATTATGTTATTTTGTATTCAACACACACAAAGCACATCGTAAAAAACACATCTTTTCGTTTTTTTAATTAGTACTCTTAAGAAAATGACTCAAACATGGGGGTTGATCAAAGATATTAAGAGGTCCAATAGGCCTTTCCTCAAGCTTCGTATTATTCGCATGTTTCAAAGAACTTCCGAGAATTTCTCTAACAAGAAAGTGCTTGAGTTAATTTTCCATGACAATGAGGTTTGTCACAATGTGCTATATTTACTAATTTTCGTGATTAATTTTTTAAATAGATTATTGTAATTATTTTCGTTTTTTTTTTAGGGTGATAGGATAACCGGTCTCATAAGGCCGGTTCACATATCTCATTTCATTGACGAGCTTAAGGATGGAGAAGCTTATGTCTTCAATCATTATCAAGTGGAGAGTAACATAGGCATTTACAAATCAACTATTGGCAAATTTCGCATCATTCTTCATAGGGGTACCGAATTCTTTAAACTCAAGACTTCATTTCCACTCTATCGATTCTCTTTTAGAGAATTTCTCACTTTACGTGATATAGACAACGTGGACGAAGCAATTTTGTTTGGTAAGTCTTATAAAAAAATTTATATTCGTAAGAATCTACTTATTTATTATGTTTATATTTTTTAGTTATGAATTGATGTATATTAATAGATTCGCATTTAAATTTATCTTGTGTAGATGTTATTGGCTTGGTGGTGGAGACCCATCCAATTGAAATAAAAAATGTGAAGAGTGGCCCGACCCAAATGATTAATTTTAGTCTTATGGATTTGGGGTTAGTTGTTTCGATTTATTTTGTTCAAAGTTGCACTCGATTTTTATAGCTTCTTATTAGATTGTTATTAAATTTATTATATTTTATTATTTTTAGTGGGCTTACTATGACATGTACCGTTTGGGGAGCGTATGTGGATCAATTTATTGCTTTCGAGAATTACTATGTGGAAGCCAATCAACCATTTGTCTTGGTTATACAAATGTGTCGTGCAAAGCCTTGGAATGGTAATTTATTTTTATTATTTTTTCTCGAAAATTAACATGTCACTTATTTAATTATAGTTATAATTTTAAATTACGAGTATTGCTTAACAATTACTTTATTGGTTTATTAGGTGAAGTTCAAATAACAACTTCAAAGGATGTCACACATTTAATTGGTGTTCACGATATTCCCGAAGTTCAAGATTTTCTGCATAAGTAAATAATTTTTAAATTTATCTCTTACATTATGGTTACCGATATATTAATAGATATTTTAAATGAATATCTTTTGTGTAGGATGACAACTAGCAAAATCAAAGATGTGAAGCTTAGATCGAATAGCTCTTTAGTTGTCAAGAGTGAAGTTCAAGGACTTGAGGATGGTGATGTCATTGTTAGCTCTGTTGATTCTATCCATGAGACTGAAGAGGTAGTATAATATAAATATTCCGATTTTGCACTTATAATACAATTTTTGTATAATAACATTCCGATTTTGTTTATGCTTACAAATTTAATGTTTTTATTTAAAGGATATGGATACTTGGGTGTGTGCCTCAATTGACTCAATTATTGATAATTGGTGGTATCTTGCTTGCAAAAGATGCAATAGCAAGATGGATATTGAAGATGGTGACATGCATTGCACCAAGTGCACTAATACACGTGGCATTGCAAGGTTGGAACAACATTTTTTATGTTTGTCTTTTCGCATATTATAGATTATAAATAGTTTACGTTTTTTTTTTTCTTAAAGGTACAAGATCCAATTTGGAGTCGCTGATTGTACTGCAAGTGCTGTCTTCATGTGTTGGGATAGAGAGTGTGAAAGGATGATTGGAAAGTCTTGTGAGCTTCTAAAGCGTGAAATTTCTGTGCTAAAGGTGACTTTTATTAACAAATATATATATATATATATATATATATATATGTATATATATATATATAAATGCTTTAATTCGAAATTCATTTCTATTTATAATTCTTATAATTATTATTACTATGCGAATGTAGAATAAAACTGTTTTTGAGTTGCCGGATGATCTAGAAGACTTGGTTGGGAGAACTTTTCTTTTCAAGGTCCGAATCAAAGCAAATAATAATGAAAAAAAGGGCTATTCATCTACTTTCTCCGTTTTGAGGGTTATTCTTGATCCAAATTTGGTTTTCAAGTACAACCATTGGGTTGTAGAGAATGATGTAAGTTTGTTTAAATAGATAAATACAATTTAATTATATTCCTTTCGTGTACAATACATGATTTGACAATTAATTATTATGCTTTTTCTTTATAGAATTCGGATTTTATGACCTTTTTACAAAGGGAGGAAGCTACTAAGGTTAGTATAAACACTTATAATTAAATATTAAATACATTTACTTATAAGTTAAGTTTATTTTCTTTCAAGTTTATACTTGACTTTATTTTGAATAGGACGATGATGAAGAGGAAGTTATTTCACCGCTTAAGACTGTTCGAGTTGTTGATCAAGTGAGTGACACATCCAATGCAAAACGGAATTTGATGGATGAGTTTGCTATTGACCCCAAGGCTGAACAAGCTGAATCAGTTACAAGCAAGAAAGGAAAGGCGAAAGTTGATGACTATGGGAACTTACTTTCTACTGATGGAGGAAATAATAATTAGTGTTTGGTTTTTGAAGTACAAGACAATTTTATTTGAATTTCTTTGCTTAGATGGTTTTTTTTATTATGGTTTGGTTAGTTTGTTTTCTTTGAAGAAATAATTGCAACTTTATGTTGCTTCTTGGTTGAGTCTCTAGGAAACATATAGTTTTCGAGATTTCAATCAACTTATTAATAAAGTTGATTTCCCCTTTGAATTTA